TTCTTGTGGTAGAATCATTTGAGGTGATATTTAAATACAGATTCCCAAGCCTCCCTCAGCCATTCACCAGAAACTCTGGAGGAGGTATGAGGCTTGGAAATCTTCATTTAACAATTAACAAATCCTTCTAGCATTTTGGAAATGGATGAACACCAGAACCCCTGGGCCCTTTGTGCTTATACATATTCCTCAGTATTAAATTATTTTTATAACTGTTTGACCAATTAAAAATTAGGATTTATTTTACTTTAGAGTTGACAGAATAATTTGTTGCTCCAATTATTTCAGAATAGATTATAGATGGATAAGTATATTTGAATATTTAGAAAATGTTATATACTCCACTGTCGTGGCAGTCCGTCCGCACAGTACGTCCATAAAAGAAACAAAATTTAATTTGAGCACATTTTCTTCATGTATTATATAGTACAGTCTTTAAATGCATTAGCCCAAGTATTACATAAAGATGCTGATCAGTACTTAGAGAACAAATTCAAAAATCTAGGAAACTATTTTACTAAATCTTTCTGAGGATTCATAATACATACTAAAGATCTCAGGCATTTCAGAGTAAACAACAAAGATGTTAACATTAAACAAATTTATCTGGGCAAAGGATGATAATTTTTCTACTTTTTTTCTATGGTCTTTGTCACCATTTTTCTTAGTTCTGAATTTATTAATTTAACAAGAACTTGTTGAAAATATTTGTAATAACTATATGCTAGGCAGTGTATTGGATTCGAGGATTAAATGGTGAATAAACCTAACAAACTACTCAATAGCCACATTCATTATTACTTGAAACTTGTCAAGTCACAAAGGTTCCTCATAGCCCCAAGGGCACTGATGCAATGCAATTGTCTGTATTGCCTCAGTTCCACCACTGACCTTACTTTAGTTACAGTTCATTTGATGAGCAGCTTTGAGAATCTCCAAACAAACCCAGAGCTGCTCCTGAATTGGGCTTGACAAGCAGAGGGACTCCCCAGGTGGCCACATGTTCAAGTTAGCTCAATAGCAAATATAGTATCAGAATCTTTCTTGGAACATTGGGTGCAATAGTCACTTTCAAACAGGCACTTGAACTTGTTAAATCAAAATATAAACTGCAAATATTACACAGTGGGCAGCAATTTCTTTATATCACAGAATAATGTCAACCATTTGTAAGGTTATTTTGAATGCCCGCTGACAAACGATGAGGGTAATTGGGCTATTTATTTGATAACTTGGGCAGATGATGCTTTTATTATTCTTTTGTTGTCAGGTTACTATTTTTATCCTGAAATAAGGAGCACTAAATGAGTTCACTGAAAGTACAGATCTTCCTACTGCCCATCGCCTTGCTCTGAGAATGACTGAAAGAATGTTACATTCATAAGAATTGGTTTGGGAATCTGTTTAATGATCATGCCAATGATAGGTACTCATGACTATAATTTCTATAATGATTACAGATATCCTCATATCTGTCAAAATTCAGGTGATTATAATTTTATCTTTGTAAAAGGTACTTTCCAACATGGAGGATCTGCAGCCTGAGAAAGTTTTTATGATTGTGAAACACTGACTTTCATTTGACTCTCTCCTATGGAAGAGGAGATAGTAGAAGGCTTTAGGGGTTGAAACAGCATAAAAAAATTGATGGTCAAAACTCCAGTTCTCTACCAAAACATATAGCAAGCCTTCTACTGCTGCATACTTTGCTTTGCCCTGGTAAAACTTGACTGTGTTTATCCAATCCTGTAATAATATAAAACCCTGTAACTCCTAGGAAGAATATGTTGACTCACTTTGGTAGCTGGTATTCTAGGCATCAGTTGAGTCCACTTTGCTCTCAACATAGTGACAAATATTATTGTCAATGTGCTGCACGTTTGGATTATAGCTGTTAGCAGTGGATGCCAGAGTATTGTTGCAATTTTTATCTAGCAAAATCATGGAATATTTTGCTTTGCAATGTGAACAAAGTTGACAAACTCAGACATCTAGACTAAACCAAGTATGTTGAGTCTTTGAATACATTTATTTATGTGAGGCAGTAGAAATATCCCCCATCTAATTATTCATTAAATATTTAGTTAATGCCTACTATCTGCCAGATACTCCGCTAGGAGCTGAAGTTGCAGCAGAGAATATAAATCAATGTTTGGAAATAAAAGTATATTTTCCAGAACTATATAAAGTTCAATTCTGAATGTGTGAAATAATGTGCAAAGCTAAGAGAGCATCTGAGCTTTGATGTTACGGGGTCAATTGGGGTCATGTAGGTCTATCAAACTCTCCCAGAATCACTCCAACTCTTTCCTACTTTAAAAATGTTAATTGAATCCTAATTCTCAGGTGAAGGACTTTCAAAAGATTGCTATGTAGAAAATATGGATGGGAAAAATAAGGCTCAATGGGAGGTAGAATTTTTTAAAGTGGAGATAGATTGTAAGTAGCTTAATTCCTTTGTGCAAAGGAATGCAGTGTATACACATAACGGTTGAGAATTCTCTCACAAGGAGACCCTCAGAGATACCATTATGACAATGTGGAGTTTACCACTTAACACAAATAGGAAAAACATGCAAGTATTGTTTTGCTTTTTTGTCCCGATTTTTAGGAATAACCATCTGATTTAGAGACGGAAAACAATATATGTAAAAAAGTCAGCCTCTACTACCAAAGTCTAGATTTCAGTCTTTTAGTAGTTAATTTTTTCAATCTGTTGTTTATTTGTCTTTTAACACATGGACTTCTAATGCAGCTGTGTGTATTATTTTCCATTGAATAAAATCTATACCAAATCTTCTGATGTGCTTTTTAAAATGAGTATAGTATAACTACATGTGGAGTATAAATGTAGTATGTGCATGTGCACTTCCACACAAATAAACTTTATAGCACCAAACAATTCACTAAGTTTGTTTTTAATAGCACTTTATGAGATGGCATTAAACAAAAGGTAGAAGAAACTACAGATATTTGTGCTTGTCTCAAGAGAATTAAAGCTTTTTCCTTAAGTTCTCTGTTGCATGTAGTGTTTAAGATTTACAGAAATAGCATCCTCTCCCCCTGAGAATTAAATTACCCTCAGGCAGAAAAATAACCCTCCCATGTGTAACTAGCAGGTTTTCTGTTTCATCAACTATCCAAATATAAGATGCAGAAATGTGAGAAAAAGTGATTTGGAAACTGAGTTCCCTAACAGAGCTGAGTCCTCTGTGCTCTACCAGAAGAAATGGCACAGAACTATTAAGATCGCCTCCTTCTGCTTTGCTCCTCTGCTCTGGCTGGTCCACTCCTCCACCCCATAGGAATCATACAGTTCCAGAGGGAATTCACTGTGAAGAACAGCTTCATTGTTTTACTAGTCATCTTGTTCTGCTGTTTCCATGGCTGGGATTCCCACCAGGGCTCCAGATTCAGAAATATTCCAATAGGTAAGGCAAGCATGAAGTCCTTCAGACTTCCAAAATCCTGAGCTTCTTTCTAAACCCTCTTTTAACCCTGCAAGCTGTCTTTCCCTAAGAGACAGAAGTTAGTGTCTTGAGGTCCTGTCCAAAGCATGCTTTTTCCTTTCATAACTCTGGATTCAGTCATTCTCTTTCTAACCTTCTCTGCTCCCTTGAATAACACTTCACACCTCATACCTGTTTTTCCTTGAACATGCCTGACTCTCCTCCTCCGCTGATCTGGTGAAGCATCTTTTAAATGTCAATATTCCAGTTGTTTCATCCTGCACTCTTTCATGTCCTATATTCTCTCTTAAAGTGGGTTTCTTTCAGTGAGTCACTTCCGTGCTCTGATACCCAGTTTACACCATGTGGTGGCAGGAAAGGCAGTCTACTAGATAAGGTTTTAAGGTTTAATTCTGTGCCCAATTTCTGTGATAATTTTTCAGAGAAAATGGGTGACAGTGGAATATACAAATGAAGAGCCTGAATGAGAAAAGGTCTGTTGAGGAAAATGTGATCTAGGCAAACGGAACTTGAGAAATGGATGCTTCAGCCCAGAACAGGGTCTGGGGAAAACCTTGACAATCACGGCAGCAGGTAGGGCCCCAGTGATCCTGTGGATCCCACCCTCTGCTTCCTATCAAGATCCTCTAATAAATATCAAAGGCAGCATGGAAAGGGGAACTAAGTCACACAAGAAAGGCCTTAGAATTGTGTGGAAAAGGGACTGGATGTATTGATTCTTTTTCTTTCTTCTTAAGGCAGAAAAGAGTAGCTACACCCTTAGAGCTGCTCACTGCTTACCTAGAATAGCTTCAGGAAGCCTGAGAACCAGGAACAGTACCTGAACCTCAAGGATTCTAAGTGGGCAATAAGAGGTTTTCTTAATAAAGCAGATGTTCCAGAATGAAACTCTATACATATGGTTTGTAGGTAACATACATAAAGATTATAAAGAATATTCACTCAAGAGCTGCTATAAATGCCCAACTGCTCCTCATCAAGGATGTAGTAAAAACTGATCCCTTGAGGCGATCAACAGCTCAGCTCTGTCCTGCTCTATCCATCTTCTTTCACTGGGTAAGTGCTATTGATCTCTTTCCCCAAATCTCTCCCTGACTACACTTGTGTCTCTTTTTCTTTGTGGGGCGTTCCTTGGTGCTATCTCCTGTCTTCTTCCTCTACTAAAGTTGTTTGCTTAGGCCAATTATTCGACAAAATGCTTCAAGCTTATTGGTTATCATGCAGACTTAGTAAGTATAACCAGTACCACAAAGCTTGCATTCAAACAAAGCCTTTTTATGTAATTTTCTCATATTTATTTAGAACAATGGTTCTCAAAAGAGAAACACCAGGAAATATTTGGCACTGCCTGAAGACCGCTTTGGCTGTAACACTGAGGGAGTAGAGTACTGTATACATCTAATTGGTAGAGGCCACAGATACTGCTAAACTTCCTATAATTCATAGAACTACCCCCCTCAGTAAATAATTACATAACCCAAAATATTTATGGTACCCAAGTTGAGAAATTCTGATTTAGAACCAACTCACAGAGTCACCTGTCAAGATACATGAGAAGTCCAACGTCAATCACCTAAGGGCTCTCTGGTCTTCTTTGCTTCTCTTCACGGGTTTATGTAAGCTGGAAAGGAGAACCAAGTGATGTTCAGCTTGGAGTAGGAAACTGTTTCTCACTCTATGGCTGCCTGATGTTCCTTGTGACCACATCGCACCACTTATCATACCACGGACTTGTCCTTACCTCTCATTTTCCTACAATAGCTCCTACTTCTCATCACAAATATCTTGACATCTCAGGATACAAACCTAAATAGAAGCTTTTTCGCCTTTTTACAGAGAAGTGGGGCCTTAGGCATACATACTATGCTTTCACTAGCCTCTTAAGTGAGACAGCAATGAAAACAAAACACAGAGTAATTTCCCAGTAAGTCTCACTATGTTAAATTTTCAGTTAATTTAACTGATTCTCGTAATGACCCCTCTCATTCTGCTCTCTTCTCTCAGTCTGGAATTCTACCTGTCTTCTGCTAAGCTGGGGTATTTGGATTTTGACTTCTGCCCCTAGTAATAAGGTGCACATAGTAAGGTAGGGATGAGAAAAGCAGCCCGTTTTGAATAATGCTGGTACAACATCAGAGCTACACATGGAAGCCACCTGCCACACGACTCTTCCAGTGGCCTGTATGCTACTACTGATACTCACCATCAGTGGGGGTTTGAGATTTGCCCCATCAACCATCCCATACTCAGTGTGTGCAAACTCCAAGTCTTCATCACCACACTTGTTATAGGATAATGTAATTAACTGTGTACCTATTGTTTGCCCAGCAGGTTTGGGGCTCCTTCTGGGAAAAGACCATGTCTTAGATATCTCCACCAGGAAAGCACAAGTTACAGTGCTTCTGCACAAGTGCTTAAGATTACAAAATGAAAGGAGCATTGAAATAATAGTTTAAGCTAAATATCTGTGAAGATTTATATAAAGAAAACTATGATGAAAACAGTTATCTGTAAGTGACAAGGTGATATTTTATACAGACAACTTGAGAGATCAACATACATCTTTGAAGCTTTTAGCACAATGAAGTAAGAATCAAAAACAAATTTTTTTCTATCATTTGGAAATTGTGACAGCAACTAAATTCTCTGTCTTTTATTTCTGGAAGGGAGCAATAATATGTCACACATCATCATTTGAATTATGTGTCTCACAGGGTTAGTTGAAAAACTGATCTGAAAGCTAAACATAACTGGGGTGAGCATTCCAAGCTTGCTGGTTTCCTAAACTCAAGGAGAAAATGATGGACATCAAAGTGTTCCATGGGCCCATACGCAGCTTCTCTCCAATACCCTGTCTGATCTAAAGGCAGCTTAAAAGCTTCTGCCTTTTAGAGACGGTTTTCACTTATATAAATGATCTTTGTACTGGCCTCACTTAGCTCAAGGTCAGGGAACTAGCATGCAGCTGTGTTTCATTGAAAGGATTTCTGGTTTTGTACCACTGGGTATTCTTGGCTCCTCAGAATGAGAAATGAAGTAGTTTGCATTTCCTTTTTTCTGACTCTTAGACCCTTTCTAAGAGTTACTAAGTTGTTGAATCACCTGAAAAAAGTCTCTAAAAATTTGAAGTCTTGTAATAGCACATTATAACATATGTTAGACTCTCTAGTACTTCAAAAATGGCATAAAATTACTGGTAAAGTTTATTTAAAGTTTATTTAATTTACTTAAGAGATCAATTTTTATTGAGTAAACAGGGGACTCAGGTAAGGACTCTGGTATGAAAGTGATAATAATTACAGCCAATGTAGTTAATATATCTCAGCCTACATTTCAGATGTTCAAATAAGTAGAACATTATAATGATTTTCATAATTTTTTTTCCAGTACTGGGGATTGAGCTCAAGAACTTGCACTTGCCAGGCAGGCATGGAACCACTAAGCTACATCCTTGGCCTAATTTTAATAATTTGACCCAGTGTCTATCTTAAATCTTCATTTCACCAAGATAGCACAAACTTAGTCTCAGATAATTTCAGGTTCCCTCCCTTGCCCAAGAGTTGTATCTAAATTTGGATAACTTATAGGGTGTTGCAGAATTGTGGTGCATGGACCAGGACCCATTTGGTGTTCAATAGCATACATTCTGCACTATTAGAACACTATTTTCCTTTTTGTTCCACCTTTGTGCTCACAGATCACCACTGAAAGACCTGACCAGCTCTTCTCTGCCTGGCCCCTTAAGAATGACTCTTTCTCCTATTTTCTTTCCTTTTATGGATACCTAACATATTCTAATCTTTTGTCCTGCAGGGACATCAAAATCTCTACCAAACTGGCTATGACCCACTCTTTCCAAATGTCACACTTACTCCCTCTCTAAACCCCAAATTTCCCCCAGAAAACAGGATACAGAGACCACCTCACTTGAGTTCATGCCTTGTCCTCCAGTTGGGAATTGAAAAGCAAAACTTTTCCTCCTTCACTGCGTATATGTTAGCCATGCCTAAATTCCTCTCCAATCCCCTAAAGGCCTAGGACTTTGGAAGTAAGGTCAACAAAAATCTTTTGTTTTTGCCCTTATCCTGTTCCATCCCTTCTGTGAGCAAGAAGCCCAGAATTGCCCAGCTTCCTGAATGGGCTACAGGTGAGATGTTGAGAAAATAGTAAGGCATTATAGGGGAAAACATGAGTATCTTAAAATGTTATCTCACTACACTCACCACATTTATTGAATATTCTTTCCTCATCAATATTTTTCAAACTACCTCCTCTGGGATTTTGATTTTGTTGTTTTGGATCCGCCCTCCTGCAATGACTCATCTTTCTATTCAAGTGCAATGTTTCTCATGAGACACCTTGGAGAGGTTGTCCACCCTCCACCCACACACACTTATCCTTTACAACCCATTCAGATGCTGCCACTGTCCCTCACATGTGGACTTTGGCATTTGTGCACAGCCCACTTCTTCGTTCACAATTTCTGGAAGATATTCTTCTAGTGATGGATTTCTGGCTTGAAGTTGGAACTTGGCTCCTGTGATCAGGTCTCACACCTCTCTGTATTTGCTACTCTGAGTGTTCTACCTGTTTCCAGCTCTATGTTCATTTCTTTGACTGACTGAATATTCCACAATGCCAGGCACTTTTCCCATGTTGCATCAGATAATTTACTTCTTTCCAAGCTTCTCTCCTGCCCTGCAGATCTCTGCCTGGGTTGGAGAAAGGAATTCATTATTCAAGTGTCGATGGGCTGGGACACTGACAGAGTAAAGAAAGGGGGTGATTCCTAATTCAAAGGGCATTTCATGCATAATCTACAATGGATCTGGAGTTTTCTGAATTCATGACTATTAGTCAGCTGTTCCATCAGGAGGACAAATACCTGATACCAAGAACTTAAAAAGAAGAGATTTATTTGGCTCATAGTTTCAGAGGATTCCATCCTTGGTTATCTGAGGCAAAACTGGATGGTAGAAGGGCCTGGAAAAGAATAGTTGCTCAACACATATCAGGAAAGCAAAGAGAGAAAATGAGCCAGAGGGAGGGAGAAAGAGAAGCAGGGAGGGAGGGAGGGAGGAAGGGAGGAAGGGGGGGTACACTTCCCAGTGACTCACCCTGCACCCAGACCCACCTGCCCACAGCACATTCAGTAATGAACTCGGTAGTGGATTAATTCCCTGATAAGGATGGCACCCTTGTGATCAATCACTTCTCAAAAGCCTCAGTGCAGAATACACGAAGCTTTGGGAGCACATTTTAGATTTAAAGCAAAACAGTAACACTTTATCACTCTGAACTAGATATATATAGGTGGGGGGTCAGCTAGATTTTTAATTGCTTTCTAGATTCTTAATCGTTATCTCTTCGGTGGAGCACATAGTACCTGGTCTGGAAAAGTGTTTTATGATCCTTCCCTTTAGTAATGTAGTCAATGAAAAATCAAGAGAGATTTATCTTTTAGAAAAATCTAATCTATCATCCTGAAAACCCAAATGTTCTACAATTGACACTGTGCACCATGTCTAATTTCAAATTCCCCACACTTTCTGCTACTGTATGCTGCCAATTAAGACAGAACTTGGAAGCATCCAATTCAGTTCCACTCCTTAAATACTAGAGCCTATTACAAAAGAAACGCTAATCTTATATTATAACTTGATTTGTATTTCCTGAGTCCTACCAAGAGATTCAGTTGTTAAAAAATAGCTTTGTATCCATTTTCCTATTGAAGATATACTCCTAAGTGAAATAAATAAGTCCCACATGTGTAAATACCGAATAGTTTCCCTGGTGTGAATATTCTGCAACAATGCATAAGATTCTAATAAGATTACTGACATTTAGAAATGGGAGGAAAAGAGCTAAAGGTGTAGGGAAGGTGTGATACGTAGGGGAAGAACAAAAAGGGAAAAGAAAAAAATGTGAGAGAATGAAAAGGTGAAAATAAAGTGTTTGT